ATTTCTGGCATTGTTAGGACCAGCAAGACAATTTTCCCTCTTTCTCTCAATTATTTGCTTTTTCGTCTGCCCCATGGTCCATCCCTCACCCACCCCCACAAACCTTCCTTTCTGTTGAGACTCTGTTCTAAAGCAGTGGCTCCTTTTATTGTCATGTGCCCCAGAATGACTACTTTGTTTCTCTTGAGTGATGCTTTAGCACAGTAAACTTTTACATTCACATCCGGTAGATTGCTTTATACATATGTTAGATGTTTCAAGACCATTCTAGGGAGAAGAATCATAGGTATGTTCAAAGGCATGGTGTTTAGAGAAGGTGGGTCACTTGAGGAAATATGTGTAGCTGCCAAAGACAGAGCACAGAGTGCTTAGGAACAGTGAGATGAACCTGAGAAGAAGTTAGAACCAAGTCATGAAGACCTGGCAGTAGTTGTAAGGGAAGATGGAGCAAACCACAATACTAGATCATAAAGTCATCTTTAAATCCTTGGATGCATTACTTATGAAAATCAAGTAGTCAATCAAAGCAAGTCAAGCTTAAGTGACAATAATATGATTTGCTTTTTTTAAAATTCTTGCTATGATTGGATTGGAATAGTCTCCTAAACCTTGTGTGTTAAAGGCCTGGTCTTCAGTTTGGGGGTGAAAACTTTGGCAGGATCCATTCGGAGTTATGCGCTTGAAGGGAATTGTGAGACTCTGGTTTTCTCCTTTCTCTTTTCTGCTCTGACGATGAGGCGAACAGTTTTTTTTGTCTACCACATACATAAGTACAGCACCAATCAGTGATGGGCATAAACTTACAAAAATGTAAGCCCAAATAACATTTTTCTCTTTGTAGATCAGTTAAGCCAGCTATTTATTATGGTAACAGAACACTGATGAGTAACATTTGGCACATGAAATTAAATAGAAAATGTATACACAGGCACTACTGACTCACACCTGAAATTTCAGGAGGCAGAAATATGAGAATCATTGTTCAAAGCTAGTCTGGTCAGACACATCCGAGGAACTTTTTTTCTCCAAACAATCATCCAAAATCCAGAAGGGAAGATGTGGCTCAAGGGGTGGAGTGTCAGCTTGAAACAATAAACCTCAGGAAAATACCCAGGTCCTGGGTTCAAACTCAAGGATTGGTACACATATACAAAAGAAAAAGAAGACAGAGCAGGTTATTTGTGTGCGTGTGTGTGTGTGTGTGTGTGTGTGTGCGCGCGCGCACGAGCGTGCGTGTAAGTCCTGTTCCTTAGTATTTTTTGTTCCAGGTTCATGCTCTACCACTTGTGCCACAGCTCTACTTCTGGTATTTGGGTAATTAATTGGAGATAAGACTCTCATGGACTTTCCTGCTCAGGCTGGCTTTGAACCACAATCCTTAGTTCCCAGCTTCCCAAGTAGCAAGGATTCTAGTCATGAGCTACCAGCAACTGGCAAGAAAATGTATGAATGTGTACTTTAAAACATGAAGGATTTTCCTTTTTTAAAAAATGTGTTAATTAAATAGTAAAATACACTAGGAAGGATCAGGGGCCTCTTCTCTACTAGCTAATTCTTGATTTAAGCATTGACATTCAAATCTCTAGCCTTCATAGCCATATGATTAAACTACAATACTTTGAACAGTTGCTTATAGCTATGTGAGTCCTAAGAGGGAAGCAATAATATTTCCCCTCATTCTAGATGAGAAAAGAATTGATGAGCTACATAGTCAGTACAGTTTGGAAGAATGATGAAGCAAGGCACTGTGACTCATTCTTATAATAGCAGCTACTCAGGTTTGAATCCAGTCTATGCAGAAAAATGGGCAAAACTCCATCTCCAAGTAACCATTTACACCTGGACTATTGGTGTGTGCCTGAAATGATAGAGCATCAGCTATGAGCAGGCAACCTGAGTAAGCATGAGGTTCTAAGGTCAAGCCCACGTACAGAAATAAATAAACAGATAGATAAATAAATAAATGTAACAATGCTCTAAAGAACACATCATGACTTCTAAAAAATGTTTTATTCATAACAACTTTGAGCTTTGGAGATACTTAAATGGTGTGATCAAAAGGTATAGAAATGTAATCATTTCTTTGAAATGACTGACGATAAATGTAAGAGACAAGTTCTTCACATAGTGAACGGACCGAGTAATATTTAGGAACAAATCAGTCTTAATGAAGTTGAAGTAACATTGAAAAATTCTGTCTGCAGGCATCAACAATCCCCTGATTAGCTAACACTTCATCCACAACAAGAAGAAAAATGATTGGCAATCTTTCTTGTTGGAGATTAGGAGCAAATGAAAAGAAATGCACATTTCCTGAACTGTAAAATGCTCAGGCATCCAAGTGCTCAAGGTAATACCACAAAACCTACTTAGGAGAGGAATCCAAAGCTATAACTCCACTAAACAACTAGGGTAGTGTAGTGTAATGTCTACCAAAATGAATACCTGAAAGTGGAAGCAAGTTTGACAGGGAGAGTAAAAAAGCAGGCACATGATTGGAGGAAGGAAGGTTGAGCAAATATATAATTATATTCAATGTACATTGTGTAAAGAAATGAACTGTGTAACTTACATAGGGATGGGTGGGGGAAATGGAGAAGAACGAGAGAAGGGGTGACATTATATCATGATGCATTGCACTCATACCTTGACTTGAGGGATTAGAACCTTTTTGTATAACTGCTTAATAATAAAATTTTTTGAAAAAGAGATTCCTGCACTTTCATGTGTATGGAAACACCATTAAAACATTATTGAAACACTATTAAAAATAACCAAGAACAACTGTCAACAAATGGAGGTGTTCATTGATAGCAAAATCAATAAGCAAAATGGGGTACACACACATATATATGTATATGTATACATATACATATATATAAAGTAGAGAATATTAGTCATATAAATTAATTCAGATAGAACCAGAGGATATAATGGAATGTGATATATGACACAGAAAGAAAAAATTTGCATGTTCTTTCTCATATGTAGAAGCTGAAGAAAGTTAATTTGAAAGTAGATGATAGTAGAATTGAGTTATTAGATGCAAAGAAAAGTAGAGTACATGGGACGTTAGAGTGATATTGGAAAATAGATACCAAATAAAATGCATGTACATGCTTTTATATGTCTGTAGACACACACATGCACACACATTTGTCATAGTATGTCTTTAAAATTCAACCCTCAGTGTCCAAGGAAGGTAATAGAAGATAGTCTTTCTTCTTAGTTATTACCATGTATAATTTTTTTCTGAAACAAAGGAGGAGGCAACAATGCTTGATAAGAAATGTACTCATTATCTTGCTCGGTACAGTATTTTCACAATAAAAAATAAAATAAATATTCTAGTGCTCTATAGAACTTTAGAGTAACTACAGTTTGCATTAACCTAGTATATGTTTCAGACAGAACCAGAAGAAAGAACCTTGAAGGGTCCAAACTTAAATGACAATTATTACCCTGACTAAGTCAGTACAGAATTTATATTCAAATGTCACATTAAACTCCATAACTATGCACAAAAATATTAACTGAAAAATTAAAACCCCACACGATAGAACAAAGTGTAATTCTTAGATTAGCTATATAAGCAATACCTAGGAGTTCATTAGCAGTGAAAATTTAAGCCTCGTCCTAATTTTTAAAAAAAAAAGAATTAAGCTTCAGCCAGTCTTCCTGTAAATTCTTGTGCATTTGGAAGTTAAAGAACTGTGATTGTCACCTAATCTCTGTCTTTCTGGACAGCATGGGACTATAAGAAACCACATGCACTATTATTTAGTAGCGAGAGGTTCAAAATGATTACATTGATTTATCTAAGAATCACCAAAAACAAAGAAGATTGGACAGTTATGCACTTAAGCATAGACCAACAATCTCCTCCATGTATACATATTCTCATTTGGATAAATTGCTATCTTCTGCTGTCTTACACTGTTCAAGGTCATTGTAGTATCATTGAACAAAGGAAGAATTGCCAGATTTTGTTTGCATTCTTAATGGAGTCAACTTGCCTAAAATTGATGGTCATTAACATCCTGCATATTTTGATGAACATTGGTAAAATTTTAATTTGAACTGATGTGGTTAAGAATGACTTTTCCAACCATAAGGCAATTTCAATCCTATCATATTGTATTATTGCACAGAGATTCAGACCACTATTTTAGGAAGTGGAGTACATGAATTCATTTACACATTAGCATTTTCTAGTTCAAATCACTAAATTGCATACATTATTCATGTAGCAAACAGTTATGTATTGTCTTTTTTTAAAAGAACAATTCACGAATCATTTTTAAACAAATTACTTTAAGGGGAAGGGAAAGATAAAACATGAAAGTCAGGAGAGGGTAGATGACAATACTTTGGTTCCAATGAAGTCCCCACAGACAGAAAATAATACCAATTGTCATTATGGAACAAAAAATATTTTAGGTAAATTTTATGATTGGGAATAAAACTAATGTACAAAATCTGGGGGAGTAATCGGTGTGTGAAACTTCATGCACTTTCATATTGAATAGGGTGTGCAGAAAGAAATTATATTCTGCTTTAATTTTATCAAACATACTAAACTGGAATGATAATTTCAGTGCTTTGAAAGAGTAATATTTTGATCTATCTATGATGTTTTATCTATTAGTAAAACTGATAAAAATAATTTTGGTTGACAAAAGCTTAACAGTATTTGAGGTAGAATTTCATTAGAAGTGGAAAGAATTGTAAGTAGAGCATTCCATTGTGAGTAAATTTGAGGCATCATTTTATTTAGAGGCAAGAAAATTGGATGATAAACTCTGTTATTAAACCCTCTGTTGTATGCCTTATCTTTCTATTTTACCAATCAAAAATAAATGGAGAGATCCCATATCTAAAGTCCCAGTTGACTTTACTGGAAGATTAACATTATTAATATCTTCAAATAATGTTATTAATTAAAAGATATTAATTTAAAGACTAGACTTGTGTTTTGCAATGATATAAATAAAAGTTACCTTTACAAATGCAACGATCTTCAAAGAAATTGTTGCTAAATATAAGGAGTTCATCACAAAATCCATTAGATTCCACCAATCATGGATATAGTCTTGAAGGCCACCATCCCACATCTGTTTAATTTCTCCCCATATAAAACCTGCAATTACAGAAAAGTTCATTGTAAGTGTGGCTTTCAAACAAATCACCAGAAAAAAGTATGCAACTTAATAAACTGAAAGAGACCATGGCTATTTATTAGATATATTTGTTTGCTTTTATGGAGAAGAACACAGGGTCTCAGACACCTTCTAAGACTTTGAGAGCATGAAACTAATTCTTTTTTATTATGAAAATACCATATGGAGGGGTTACAATTCTAGAAGAGGCTGTTATGTCTGTCTCTCTTTATTTTATCTATTTTTGTCAATTATATGAAATGCAAGAGTTTTAATTAAACTTTAGTTCCTCTATACTATATATTTTTCTCATGCAAAACATTATAACATTTTATGTAAGCAAATTTCTTGAAATGTATTTCTCTCAAGTCAAATGTTCCAAACGCTAATGAAAAACAGAATAGCCAATATAACTGAGAGCTTGTCTCAGTGTTAGAGAGAGGATGACCATAGCATTTACTGAAATAATTTCTCCGTAGCAATAACTGTGAAGATATATCCAGAGAAAGTATAAAATCTCCTGTGTTTGGGTCTATTTTAAAAGAAAATATTTCATTTAAAAACTCAATCAATGTGATCATCATTTTAGTTCTATAATCTTATTAAAATATATAATACTATTATTTTTGTCCATTATGGGCTTAACTCTGGGCCTAGGCGCTGTCCCTCAGCTCTTCAGCTCAAGGCTAGCGCTCTACCACTTGAGCCACAGCACCACTTCCATCCTTTTCTGCTTACGTGGTGCTGAGGAACTGAACCCAGGGCCTCATGCATGCAAGGCAAGCACTCCACCACTGAGCCACCTTCCTAGCCCCACATAATACCATTTTTAAAGCCTAATGAGTATGACATCAAAGTACCTAGAATCAAGAAATATTAAAAAAGGATAAATATGTTACAGTAACTACAGTAATTAAAAAAATATAACAAGACTCCTTTAAGATACGGACAACCTGGAATATAAATGTCAAATAAAATATAAAATGTCAAATAGCATGCTTAATAACAACTGAAAAATGCACAAAATTAGAACATGGTGTTATGATAAAACCAAGAAAACAACAGAGTAAGGATAAAAATCATAGCATTTCATTTACTCAACTAAGAAATGAGAAACCTGAGGGCATATACTTAAAAAAAGTTCCAACAAACAAATGTGAACTAACTCACACAGTACAGGGTAAAGAAACTCTGGCACCTAAAAGATTCAACAGTACATTTCTTCCAGATACTCAAATTTGTTAGCGTATATACTGTTGAATTATTTGGGTGCCAGAGGGTCTCATCTAAAATATATTTAGAACTCAAAAAATTAAATCCTCCCCAAATCCTCAAAGAAACAACAACCCCTTTAATAAGTGAGCTAAAGACTTAAAGAGAGACTTCTCTGAAGAGGAAATAAGAATGGCCAATAGACACATGAAGAAATGCTCAACATCTCTGGCCATAAAAGAAATGCAAATCAAGACAACATTGAGACTCCAGTTAAAATGGCTATAATCAAGAAATCTAATAACGACATATGCTAGAGGGGATGTGGCCAAAAGGGAACATTACTACACTGTTAGTGAGAGTATAAACTTGGTCAACCACTCTGAAAAGCAGTGTGGAGGTTCCTCAAAATACTAAACCTAGAGCTCCTCTATGACCCGGCAATCCTACTTCTGGGCATTTACCCAAATGATCACAAACAAGGCCATACTAAAGCTACCAGCACAACTATGTTTACTGCAGCATTATTTACCACAGCTAAGATATGGAACCAACCCAGATGTCCCTCAGCAGATGAATGGATCAAGAAAATGTGATTATATATATATATATATATATATATATATTACAATATATATATATGCTTCCATTAAAAGAATAACACCTCCCCATTTGTAAAGAAAAAATCATATTAAATCAAGAAAGCCAGACCCAAAGAAACTGTTTCCATGATTTCCCTCATTTGTAATAATTAGTATATGTCTAGTATAATCCTAGCAGATGAGCAGAGTAGCTCAATAGTTATGTACATATGACCATATAAGATGATGCTAAGTGAAATGAACCCCAAGACATGGACACAAGAGGCTTTTCTTTGTTGTTAGAAATGTACAATTGGGGGGGTAGGGGGAGAGTGGGAGAAAAATGAGAGAGGAGGTCCCAAATTCTATGAGAAATGTACTCTCTACCTTACTTATATAACTGTAACCCATCTGTACATTAACTTGACAATAAAATTGAAAAAATATTCAACAGTACATTTCAAATAAACTTCTAAAAACTGAGTGTGAGCTAGCACATTAGATTACAGGACCCATGGAAGGCACAGATACCAAGAAAGTTTCTGTGTACTGGCATGCCTGTCTCCATGGCCCTTTACCCACTGCCCAAGGAAGGATGCTGGTGCAACACTGGAAGAGAGAAGAGGTTGTTCCTATGGGAATGGCCTAAGGTCTTACCCAGGATGCTCTTTCTTAAGGAGCCAACCATTTTGGCCCTATGGAAGAGGCAAGAAACAATCCTCAAGCTCAGGTTTACCCCAGTACCATCACTGGAGAAGGAACAGGAATCTCTGCCCTGCCTATGATCTTCAGAGTCTGAAATCTTCCATAAGAAAGAGAGCACGGATCTCCGGGATATTTCCATCACTCACACACAGAGAACTTCCTAAGTTTAGCTCTGGATCAGTCTTCTCACTATTACCAAACTAACAAATACCATGTAATAAGAAGAAGTGTACAATCACTGGGGGAGCAAATGCAGGCTTCGACATCCTCTTTTGAAGCACAGCTGTATGAGGCTAACAGCTGTGGATGAACCTTAGAAACTGATTGTATCCACAGCAGAACCCAAACTAAACTCAACTTCTGCTTGTTCTTACATTTTCCTACATAAGGTTTTGTGTAATTCTGCTTCTGGCCCTCTGCATATGTAATATAAGCAACTGTAAAACACACACACACTTTCCCCAACATACACATGTGCACACACACATTATAGTGATGTGCCACAATTAAATGCCTAAAGTAAAAGGTGAAAAAAATCTGGACTGGGAATGTGGCTCAGTTGGTAGAGTGCTTGCTAGCATGCATGAAGCCCTGGATTCGATGTCTTAGTACCACATAAACAGAAAAAAGCTCGAAGTGGTGCTATATATCAAGTAGTAGAGTGCTAGCTATGAGCAAAAGAAGCCCAGAGACAGGGTCCAGGCCCTGAGTAGTGAAAGCCCCATGACAGGCAAAAAAAAAAAAATCAAAGGTATCCAGAAAATAAAGCAAAATTATTACCATGCAAAGAAAGAAACGTAAGACTGAAGACAAACGTGTCTAAAATTTATCTGATACCCTGTAGACACTATGCTGAGAATGAACTATACAATTTGTGAGCAGGGACAAGAGGAGGAAACTGGGAGAAAGCAAAGGAAGGGATGACATTGCCCCAAAAGAAGTATTCATGACCTGACTGATGAAACAGTAACCCATCTGTAGATCACCTTAATAATAATAATAAATGAAATAATAATAATAAATGAAAAACTATCTGAGCCAGAAGATATTGCGGTGATACCTAAAAATAAAAAGCAAAAATTAAACAAGAATTCTAAATGCAGAACAATCAGCTCTACTAAATGGCAGTGAGCTGTAAACTTTTTCCAGATGAACAAAATCAGAGGCAGGCTAGGCTTTGGTGGTTTACACCGCTGATCCTAGCTACTCAGGAGGCATACATGGTTTAAAGCCACTCTCACTGTCAGGAAAGTCAGTGAGACTCTTATCTCTGACTAGTAAAAAACAGCTGGAAGGGGAGATGTGGCTCAAGAGGTGGAGAATCAGTCTTGAGTGAAACACAAAGGGACAGTGTCATGTCCTGAATTCAAACCTTAGTATTGATACATACATGCAAAAAATATCTGGAGGAGAGTTTTTATTATTAGATTCACACTAAAAAGTACTGTAGGAATAAGTAGACAGACTATGTATGATACTAGATAGAAACTTAGATTTATAAAAAGAGATAAAGATATAATTTTAGAAATAATCAATTGAAGGTAGAGATAAATATGATCTTTCTTATTCTGACAATAGCTCAATAGTTATGTACATATAACCATATAAAAGGGTACTAATCGAAATGAACTTCAAGATATGAAAACAGGAGTTTTTTTTTAAAATGTACTGTGTGAAGTTATTTCTTTTTTCTTTTTCTTTTTCCCCTTGGATTTATCCCCTGTTGTCACTGTTTTTAATTTTGGTACCCTATATATATATATATATATATATATATGTTTATCTGATTTTGAGAAGGGAAGGGGAATAACAAAATGGTGAGACAGGACAAAGGGTGAACCGATGCAACAGCGACACTCACAAGACACTATGCTGGAAATGAACTTTACAACTTGGGGTAGGGAGAGGAATCAGGGGAGGGTAAGGGAAAGTAGGAGAAAATGAGGAGGTGGGGGTAACACTGTTCAACAAGAAATGTACTTATCACTTTACTTATGTAACTGTAACCCCTCTGAATACCACCGTTACAATAAAATAAAATTTTAAAAAGCAGATGAATTTATAGTTAATCTTCTGACCATAAAATTCAGCTCCACTGTCTTTCTAATTTGTCCTCCTAAATGTTGTGAAATAAATAATGCTAAGTTTAAACCAGGCCCTTACAAAGCTATAGCAAGAAAGAATATTTAAAAGACAATTATTATTCTGATTTAAAATTTTGGCATATTATGGAAACGCACAAAATGCTCAATAAATATTAGTGAGTCAGACAGAATGACATACAAAATAATAGGTTATCTGTAAATAATGAAGTCATGCCAAAAACTGTTTTTCACATCAGTGAATAGAATTTATATTATGAACATATTATTGAAAATCATGACCATTTTAATAGATATAGAATATGATAAAATCTAGCATCCATTCATGATAGAAGCATTTCACCAAGTGTAAATAGAAGAGACAATTCTCAATCATATACA